TGGGGGTTAGAGCATAGCCAGCCACCAGCACACCCCTGGTACCAGAACCTCATAGATACACAACTTAATTATGTGATTCTTTACAGACAACTGGAGAGTTCATATAAAATAAAGCCTCCAGTTACCTGGGGCCTTTGTTTTTTGCGGAAACTAAGTCTGAAAGCTTCGTTTCCTGCCACACAACTCCGCAAATGATTCACATGGAATGAGATTCACTCACACTAGCTTTAAACTCATACGTACAAAACTCTGTTTATTATGTCGTTGTTTATCTTCGCACCAATCCTTGATAAGCTACAGATTTACTCCCCTTGCTACCCAGCCAGAACAGCTGTAGGCTCAAGTATAAAGATGGACCAATAGTAAACAAGTAGCTATATGTGTGGTATCATGATTGTTCAACTTGTCAGAGTGAATGTGTATGTTACACACACAACAACACTTAGATATATGTGTATGTTATTTTAAGTGTCGGCTTGACAGGCCGTTATTGTGCTGATTGTGCAGGCCATTATATTATTGCCCGAGTATCCAGAAGGAACTCCATTTGTTACCCTTGCAACTGGTGGAGTTAGGAAAGCTGTGTTTGTGATTGGTTGTCTAAAGAAAGTGTTTTCAGAATTATCCATGAGTGAACTATGTTTTTGGTCAGTTGAGGCATCCCAGTGTCTCTCTGATGCAATGTTAGCTTTGATGACACCAATTTAAAATAGCTTAAGCCCCTGTTGTACTAGTATTTAAGTTCTGCAGATAAACTTTGTTGTTTTATGAGTGTTTGCATAAAACCCTCTTCACATTCTGTCACTCAACTAAGAGGACCTCAGCACAGATACAGTTCAAAGTTCCAATATCATTAAGCTTTTAGTCAGTACAAATTATGATGAGGACCCATTGAAAAGTCCTTTAAGAGTGCTTTTATTGCATTGAAGTGATTCCTATGACCAACATGAATTGGGGTCAGATGAAGCCTGTTGATAAGAACCACCCCACAAGAAGTATCCTTACTCAACTGAGTGCACCCTGGACCTGTATGCAGTCCTCTTACATATCCTAAGCTTGAACTGGCATTCTGAAGCCATCTGCCGTTGCAGAGTGGTGACGTTGCAGGCAATTGCAGTCACGATGAAGCAAAATGCCATAAACACTTTTATGAGTGTGAACGTTTTGCAAGGTGCACCTTAAAGGAATAATCATTTACCATGGTAACAAATATTTATGGCAATGTAGTTAACATTGGTGCAGGAGACACATTATCATTGACATTTTTACAGTTTTATATTGTGAACAATTTCCAAGGGTACATATTAAAATTTACGATTTAACACGGTGATAATTAAAGAGGCCTAATTGGGTTTGTTCTCGACTCACAGTCAGGAATCCCGAGTTCGAGTCCCAGGTGGGACAGGTTTTCTTTAACCAAAGGCCTCTGTCCATGTAGCAGTAAATATAGGTACAGTACCTGGGAGTTAGTCAACTGTTGTGGAGCTGCATTCTGGAGTGTCAGTAATTATAATTACAAGTTAACTGTACTTACTCAATAAGCTTTTAATTTATGAGATAGCAAGTTATGGGAATAATGTCTGAGAATGTGATTAGGGGTGATAATGTGGGTAGTTAACATGTGGAGAAATTGCAAGTGTGTGCAAACAGATGGGGTATGTTAAAGAGACGTACGATTGACAGTGAATAGTAAGAATAATGAGGTGGGTACAGATACAGTCTCTGTACCTAATCTGTGTACCTTGCAAGAGGGTGTGTGATGGTGGTCTAGTAAGAGCCGCCCCTACATGCAAGTTTGGGAGATCTGTGAAGGGTGTGGTGGAAGAATTACCTGGGCTGTTACAGGGGCCTTATTTAGGGACCTGGGTCAGGTGAGGCCACTGTTCTTTCCTCCCTTTTTTCCACCAGACAAATGATAGAAGTTTTGCATGCTTTCCCAGAACATAAAGAAAAGGTTGCAACTTTTATCACAATTTAAAACAAGAGAATATACAGGGCATCAAATGCATTACAAAACAAAGCACTTTAATATTCCAGAACTTAACCACCAATTAGCATTGTTATGGTGACATCTGAAATTAATTTTCCATATTGATAATGACTATGATAATGATTTTGCCTTGATAAAGAGTCCAGGATGGAGTGAAACATCATCACTTGCCTTTGTTTTCTTATATGCGACTTAGGTTACTTGTCTTTAGCCACGTTTTTTTACTTATTCTCTACAAATGATAACGTTATTTGTGCAAATACATTTGTAGTAAGGTACACAGTATATTTATGACAGGAAACACATTTAGAAGTATCAGACCAAATCAGGTATACTAGTGAGTATGCATGAAGATTATCTTTGTTGATGTGGCTCTAAACATTGAGCCATAATACACACTAGAACATAATAAGTGTGAGGATTGTTTTATCGGTCAGCAGCTGTAGCTGTTGGAAACTTATCAGCCAATGGTAGGGTCCCGATCATTGCAACACTTGGACCATGGTGGGGTCCTGATCATTGCCACACTCAGACCATGGTGGGGTCCTGATCATTGTCACACTCAGACCATGGTAGGACCCCTCATAGCACCACAAATGGCCCCAAAATATGGTTAGAAGTACCTCCACCACATTATATCCCCAGGCTGTGTTGGAAAGCTGATATAATCACCATGAACAGTTGATAGGCTCTGATTTATTTTGTTTTTTATTCATATACAAGACAGTACAATGGGTTGTTAAGAGTACATATGTTGGTGGGTGAATAGCACAGTCTTGCAAGTCACTAACATGCATAGTATTTCTGGCAGGTCCTTAATAAGCTAACAAATAAGCATAATAATAGGTACATTGTAACAGAATTTGAATTCACATGATAATGAACATCAGTATAACAATGAAGTTGCATTTCTACGTTGTAATATATTGTGTGAGTGGGTAGCACAAGATGGGATACTATGAAGATGAAAGTAGGTACTGTAGTTATAGTTCTACTTTTGAGTAAAGTATATGTTGGACAAATTTTTTAATTCATTTGGGAACGAGTTCCATATTTTGGGCCCTTTTATTTGCATGACATGTTTGCATAGATACAGTCTGACTGGGAATAGCAAAGATATTTATTTCTGGTATGATGCTCATGGGTTCAATTACATCAGGGAAGAGCTTCAAAACAGATTTAGAATTTAGGAATAAGGCTTTGTATGTTTAAGTAGTACAAGAGAATATGTAGTGTTTGTGTGTGTTCAGCATGTTTAGGGATTTACACAGAGGGGCTGTGTGTTGTTTAAAGATAGAATTTGTTATAATTCTGATATTGTTCTGATTTATAGTTTAAATATTTGCTAGGTGATGATAGGCTTGAGGGAGTTTACAGTGGTGGAACCCTGTGCCCAGATACTGTACATTAGATAGGGATAGATTAGCAAGTAGTATAGTGTGGGAAGAGCAGAGCAGGGAACATAATATCAGACTTTTGAGAGAATACCAAAAGTTTTAGAGATTTTCTGGATGTCTTGTCTATGGATAGGCCAAGGAACTTTCCTCAATTTTATATTTTTCAAATTTTTTAAATGAGGAGAAAATAAATTGGAGCAACTAGGTGACTTGAACTATCAAGGTACTCCCAGCCATGCACCTTACCCCTGTACCATGACATGGTATAAGTTATACAACCTGGGATTGCACCGAGTCTACAGGAAATCTGGAGGCTTCTACTGAAGGGAAGGGGAAGGGAACTATCAGGGGGAAGTGCCAAGCCATTACGACTACATAGCACTGGGAAGGGGTCAGGATAAGGATTTGAGATGAGACGGGGGGACGGAATGGTGACCAACCACTTGGATGGTCAGGGATTCAACGCCGACTTGCATGAAGCAAGACCGTTGCTCTACTGTCCAGCCCAAGTGGTTGAGTGGCCTCTACCAAAGCCAGTCCACATTTTACACAAACCCCCATGCACATTCCATTAACAGATGGAATGCATTAGGCAGTGATGTGGTGGAGGCAGACTCAATACACAATTTCAAATGTAGATATGATATAGCCCAGTAGGCTATACTTGTACACCAGTTGATTGACAGACGAGAGGAGGGACCAAAGGGCTGAAGCTCAACTCCCCCAACTAGGTGAGTACTCTGGTGTAGGTATAGTTCTTCAACCATATGCTCCAGCTTCAGATACACAAACAAAAATCACACTTAAAGAGATATATATAAATAAGAAAATCAATTGGAGCATTAAGTTTTTTCTTTGCAGTGATATTCCTGTGCAGGCCCTAAGCCTTTAGCTGGTGATTGAAACCAGCGATCAAGGTACATGTACTTGCAGTCATGCTTCTTATATCATGTTGTGGTACAGGGGTAAGGTGCAGGGCTGGGAGTATCTTGATCGCTGGTTCCAGTCACCTCAGTGCTCCAATATTATCAATTGATCATTGATATACTGAATATCCCATTAGTGTGATTTCTTTGTGTAACTATTAATGTTAACATTATCTATATGAAGGTGTATGTGGTTCGATGATTTGTTTCCTATTAAAATATCGTAGATCTTATCAAAGTTTAGTGTAAGTTTGTTGGTTGATATCTATCTGTGGACTTTTCTTAACTCGTTGTTTACAATAAGGCATAAATAGTGGCATACATAGATGCGATAAAGCACATAAATTAGTGAGATCATCTCAAAGCTCTCCAAATGTACTCACTAGAAAAGAGACGAGAGAAATATCAAATAATATACACGTGAAAAATACTGGCGGGCCAGGTACCAAATTTGCACAGTAAAATAACTTACTGGAGTGAACGATATGGAAGAAAATGCAGAATAGAACCAGTGAAGAACAGAGGTGCCATAAGCACAATCAGAGAACACTGTATAAACATAAGAGGTCCACGGTTGTTCAACATCCTCCCAGCGAGTATAAGAAATATTGTATAAGAACAACTATGGACATCTTCAAGAGAAAACGAGATAGTTTTCTTCAAGAAGTGCCGGACCAACCGGGCTGTGGTGGATATGTGGACCTGTGGGCTGCTCCAAGCAACAGCCTGTTGGACCAAGCTCTCACCAGTCAAACCTGGCCTCAGGCTGGGCTTGAAGAGTAGAAGAACTCCCAGAACCCCATCAAGCAATTAATATTATTTAGACTGTGGGGGGGTTGGGGTTTGAGAAGATGAAAGTAGTATTGTCACAAAATATAATAGGTTTAAGAAAGTTTAGAGAGGTCTGACAAATCATTGATGTATATAACAAGTAGATGTCCTGTGGTACTGCTTTGTGGCATGCTATTTAATGGTAGAGTGGGAGAGTGTCACAATCAATGCCCCAGTGGTAGCAGACCCTGATCATGCCACAGCTGCCCGGGAGAGTGGTAGCAGACCCTGATCATGCCACAGCTGCCCGGGAGAGTGGTAGCAGACCCTGATCATGCCACAGCTGCCCGGGAGAGTGGTAGCAGACCCTGATCATGCCACAGCTGCCCGGGAGAGTGGTAGCAGACCCTGATCATGCCACAGCTGCCCGGGAGAGTGGTAGCAGACCCTGATCATGCCACAGCTGCCCGGGAGAGTGGTAGCAGACCCTGATCATGCCACAGCTGCCCGGGAGAGTGGTAGCAGACCCTGATCATGCCACAGCTGCCCGGGAGAGTGGTAGCAGACCCTGATCATGCCACAGCCGCAAAGGAGAGTGGTAGCAGACCCTGATCATGCCACAGCTGCCCGGGAGAGTGGTAGCAGACCCTGATCATGCCACAGCTGCCCGGGAGAGTGGTAGCAGACCCTGATCATGCCACAGCCGCAAAGGAGAGTGGTAGCAGACCCTGATCATGCCACAGCCGCAAAGGAGAGTGGTAGCAGACCCTGATCATGCCACAGCCGCAAAGGAGAGTGGTAGCAGACCCTGATCATGCCACAGCCGCAAAGGAGAGTGGTAGCAGGCCCTGATCATGCCACAGCCGCAAAGGAGAGTGGTAGCAGGCCCTGATCATGCCACAGCCACCCTGGAGAATGGCAGCAGGCCCTAATCATGCCATTGACAAGGCAAAATCTTCGTCACACTGTCCTTGGATAAGTCTCATCATTTTAGTCACACTAAAATTGTATCAGGTATTTCTCATGGTATGCACATCACAAACTTTTCATGTCAAAACAGTGTCTACATCGTAGCTGAAAGAACACAGATCATGCCACAAACATCTCTTAGACGTGAATAAGAAGGTCCTCCTTGTCATATCACAAACCTCTCCATGTTGTAGGTCAAAAAGCTATTAATGATTCCAATTAGTTTCCATGTTTAAGGCTAGAATGGCCTTAATCTTTCCAAAAACATCTGTCGTGGGGGTTGAATTCATCGTACTGCCAATGTTCCTTACTCATGACCATTTTGGTATGGATATTAGTAGGTTATAAGGTGAAATTAGTATGATGTATTAGTATGATCACACACAGCTATTCATCAGATCATGTTCCGTACAGCCATAAAATTTGTCACTGGATGGCTTAGATCCCAAAACATGCTTCAGTGTCTTTAAGTCGAATGCTTGCATGCCAAGTGGCTGGGAACTGATATGCTTAGGACTCTGTGTCTGGGAGATGTATGGATGAGAGCTGAGTGGCCGAGATACAGGTGTCTGAGGGCTGAGTGGCTGAGGTACAGGTGTCTGAGGGCTGAGTGGCTGAGGTACAGGTGTCTGAGGGCTGAGTGGCTGAGGTACAGGTGTCTGAGGGCTGAGTGGCTGAGGTACAGGTGTCTGAGGGCTGAGTGGCTGAGATACAGGTGTCTGAGGGCTGAGTGGCTGAGATACAGGTGTCTGAGGGCTGAGTGGCTGAGATACAGGTGTCTGAGGGCTGAGTGGCTGAGATACAGGTGTCTGAGGGCTGAGTGGCTGAGATACAGGTGTCTGAGGACTGAGTGGCTGAGATACAGGTGTCTGAGGACTGAGTGGCTGAGGTACAAGTGTCTGAGCGCCGAGTGGCTGAGATACAGGTGTCTGAGGGCTAATTTGTAGGGAAGTGGGTGTATTAGGGCTCAGTTGTAAAGAAACAGAGGGCTCAAAGATTATAGTGCCTCCTGTGCTTCTTCGGTGAAGGTTGCCTGGCTGACGGAGCTTCTGGAGGCGGTATTGTTGCCAGCGGTTCCGTAGTGCCTCCTGCACCTCGCCGTTAAGGAAGCAGTACAACACCGACACGAACACACCCTGCAAAAGACAAAGTGAACACATTATGGAGAATTCAGATTATAAGAGACCTAAGCATTATCCAGTTACAGCAACAGATAGGCACCCAGTCAGAGCAGGAGACCAGGACCCAGTCAGAGCAGGAGACCAGGACCCAGTCTGAGCAGGAGACCAGGACCCAGTCAGAGCAGGAGACCAGGACCCAGTCAGAGCAGGAGACCAGGACCCAGTCAGAGCAGGAGACCAGGACCCAGTCAGAGCAGGAGACCAGGACCCAGTCTGAGCAGGAGACCAGGACCCAGTCTGAGCAGGAGACCAGGACCCAGTCTGAGCAGGAGACCAGGACCCAGTCTGAGCAGGAGACCAGGACCCAGTCTGAGCAGGAGACCAGGTCCCAGTCTGAGCAGGAGACCAGGTCCCAGTCTGAGCAGGAGACCAGGTCCCAGTCTGAGCAGGAGACCAGGACCCAGTCTGAGCAGGAGACCAGGACCCAGTCTGAGCAGGAGACCAGGACCCAGTCTGAGCAGGAGACCAGGACCCAGTCTGAGCAGGAGACCAGGTCCCAGTCTGAGCAGGAGACCAGGACCCAGTCTGAGCAGGAGACCAGGACCCAGTCTGAGCAGGAGACCAGGTCCCAGTCTGAGCAGGAGACCAGGACCCAGTCTGAGCAGGAGACCAGGACCCAGTCTGAGCAGGAGACCAGGACCCAGTCTGAGCAGGAGACCAGGACCCAGTCTGAGCAGGAGACCAGGACCCAGTCTGAGCAGGAGACCAGGACCCAGTCTGAGCAGGAGACCAGGACCCAGTCTGAGCAGGAGACCAGGACCCAGTCTGAGCAGGAGACCAGGACCCAGTCTGAGAAGGAGACCAGGACCCAGTCTGAGAAGGAGACCAGGACCCAGTCTGAGCAGGAGACCAGGACCCAGTCTGAGCAGGAGACCAGGACCCAGTCAGAGCAGGAGACCAGGACCCAGTCAGAGCAGGAGACCAGGACCCAGTCTGGTCTCTTGCTCAGACATCAATTAGTTACTCAAGAAATTACAAATCTGTACATATTTTCTCAATTTCTGGCGGCTTTGTTTACGTTTATTAAACAGTTTTGAGTTCCGAAGCACCAGAATGCTGCTTATAACAAAAATAACATTTGACATAAGTTTCGCTGCTCGTAAGCTGTTTAATAAATGTAAACAAATCCGCCAAATATTGAGAAAAGATGTAGAGGTTCGTAAGTACATGTGTAGCTGTGTGATGAACGTTGGTCCTGGACCCAGCAACATCAGGATACTAGGGACCAACCTGAGAGGACTGAAGGAAGGCATTTGTAAGCATGTAGGCGCCTTCCAGGTCTCCATTGTCGCCGGGGTTGACAGCGAAGAGAAGATTGGTGGTGCCTAGTAGAGGGAACAGCACTGCCGTGGCCCTCACAGCCTTCCTGCAACACACACACACACACTTCTCAGTTAATGAACACTTTGCCCCGCGGTCTTTCAGGCAATAGAACATGTTTATCATGACTAATAGGCCCCGAAAGTACATTATATTATTTGCATAAAAGTAAAACAATATTTTTTTAGTACGGAAGTTGTCATTGCATATCTTGCAGTCATTGATTGTTTTCTGGGACGACTATTCTTTGTCTCCCCCGAGCTATCCAGCTGGAGTCCTGCAAACCCAGGTACAACAACAACAGGCAGATCACAGTTGCCTGGTGGAGACCAGATTAAACTATACTCTGGCTTGTCAATAGCGACATAAAGGTCTGGGGACATAAGGTGAACAAGAAACAAGAAAATTACAGGCACATGGAATAAATGGTAAAATACTAGAATGGATAAAACAATGGTTAAAACAAAGAATACAAAAGGTCGTGCTAAACGGGAAGAATCTGACTGGAGAAATGTTGAGAGTGCTGTACCACAGGGGTCCACTTTGGAGCCAACCCTTTTTTTGTCAGGTACATCGATGACATAGATGAGAATATTACAAACCATATCGTTAAATTTGCATATGACACTGAGATTTATGGTAAAGTGGGAAGTGAAAATAATATTGAAGCCTTACAAAGAGATCTACATAAACTCCACAAATGGTCAGAAGTCTGGCAAATGCTTTTTAATATCGAAAAATGCAAGACCTTGCATGTGAGACATAACCCACGTCACAACCACCAAATTAACAACAATACCTTGCAGCAGATTGATGAGGAAAAGAACCTTGTAGTCAGAATCCATCATTCATTGAAAGTTGCACAAGAGGGAGCTGTGTACCCACTGGAGGTGGGTGAGGAAACACAGGTGTGGGGCAGTGATACTCGGGCAGTTGTCCTGAGGGACTCTGAAGGTCCCAGACCTTAAATGCTTACCTAATTGCACCAGGCTTCCGATGACCGCCTTTGTCTACTGAAACCCAGGACCAGGTCTTGGCTCCCACTACAAGGCAAGACTGAACCAGAGAACAACCGAAAACCGATAAAAGAACTCACCAGACAAGATAGGTGCAACAAAACAAGAGGCTGCTTGCAGGAAATTAGGCGCCACAAACTAAACAACTGATCGCCAATCTTGACGCAGCCAACCAGCTCCAGGTGGCGCCCCAGGTGGCGCCCCAGGTGACAGCCAGACTGCCATCTCCCTCACTCACCTGCATGCTGCCGGTCGCTGTACAGTAATTAAACCTGACAGAACCCTTCTCATTTTCCATGATTTCAGCTTAGTGGTGTTGGCTTTACCTGTAAAACTGTTCGCCACAGGCCATTATTTTCATGTTGTTCTTTTATGTTTCATGATTGTGATTTATGCCAACTATATCGTGTTTAGCCACATATTTAGCTCAGATTGGGGCATAGGTTATCTTCCCTGGTGTCTTGCATTTTTCCATGACGTCTCGTCCTTCTAATAGAGCGTCGCATTTTGACGCATGCTTTACCTAGGGCTGACACATCAAATTGTTTGGATGTGTGACACTGGAATGATGGGACAGTATTCTTAAGAGGTACAAGCACTTTGCCCCAAGATTGTAACACTTAAGTACAGTGTTGACTATTTTAATGTCATGTAAAATATGTGAACTTGTACTCACTGGATTTGTGCCCCCTTGAGGGACCTGAAGTAGAGGAGGGTAGAAATAGCCTAAACTACTCTATCCTTTTGAGATGTATTTTATTGTCTCAATCAATGTACTTGAACTTAAATTTACTTGAAAATTGTAGCGAAATTGAAATACTGTCTTGTTTTCTGTTTGGGTCCTCTGATAGGTTAGGATAAGGGTACTTTAGCACGACAGTTTCTTGACGTTGGAGGAACCTTAAGAGGACGGGCTGGACCAACAGCCAGCTGGTCTGAGGCTTGCAAGGTTCCTCCTCCGAGGTGGACTCTCGCTTCGAACATGTAGACTCAGTCCTCTTCCGTGTTGGGGACTTTTTCTTAAGGAGGGCGCCCACTCCGTTCTCTCAAGTTGCCACAATGGACAGAAAAGGATGTACTAAAAAGTTCAAGCCTAACCTATCGATCACGAGGACACAACAAGCGCGAATGTTAGCGAGCCTCTATTCACCTGAATTTACCTCGGGGCCACTATCTCTCTCTAGTAGCCTCGACGACGACAGGAAGCCAGCAGCTTGTCAAAGGCCCCCCCCATTTGTCCTGATGATTTTATCAAGCTGGATTTTTAAATATAACGGCTTCGTGTTTCAACATATAACGGCTTCGGCGAGTAGCTGAGTCCTTAGGTTTTTAATCCTTTGGGCGAAAAAGCATCTCATGAAGGGTGCAAGATTGATTTCCAATGCTGTTTTTGCATGCTTCCCAGATAGTTCTTGAGTATTGGATTCTTGGAAGTTAGGGTTTCTATGATAGTTTCGTTGACGGGTCCCATTGATAAGTTACTTGTCGCTGATATTTCACAAGAGCAAGTGTAGAAAGTAATGATTGCCAATATTTTGTTTAGTTTGCCATTACAGCTCTTTCCGAAGACGGTTGGTATATTGGGTTATACGTTTGCTCGTTGTAATGCGGTGTATATCTTGTCCTATCTTTATACAAAGTGAAATGAGGATAAAGAGGAAGCCATCGATGGGTAGGTAGTTTCCTATCAGTTACCTGTCAGTGATTACGAGGAAGTGATTACTCTTTATGCCTCAGTTATCATTTTTATAAATTTTGCAAGCATTTACCTACTTAAAATTTTCTTAGATTAAGGACCTGCCCGAAACGCTGCGCGTACTAGTGGCTTTACACGAATGTAATTACTATGCTATGTATCCTCACAATCCCAATGTACCTTCTTGTATATATGTATATATATATATATATATATATATATATATATATATATATATATATATATATATATATATATATATATATATAAATAATAAATAAATAAATAAATAAATAAATAAATAAATGGCCTGCCTACTGGCCTTGTTGTTGCCTTACAAGTTAACTATTCTGACGTTGTAACAGGAAAGTGTTAGGATTATCGAGGTCCCCCCTCCGTAAGTCAACTACTGACCTTTGATGATGAACTGAATTATAGTGGACGGTGACGTACCTGAACTGAGCATCGCTGGCCTGGAGCTTGGTGACCAGGATCCTGACGATGTTTACCAGGAACAACAGGTTGATCTGTGTACAGTGAGATGGATGAGAACACTGGAGAACACTGGCTAAAACATTAAGGTGCAGTAGCTACTTAATATTCAAGTCATTTACTGTCAACTATATTATCAATTTTAGACCCTCTGACCTCATTTTTTTCTATGCTCCTGAAAGAAAGTATTACATATATACAGTCGTGTAGACAGCATTTTCTTGGAATTTTGAAAAGGGTTTTTATTGACTTCCACATGAAAAAATCTTGTAATATATGAATATATATTAAGCAATAAAGGCATGTTATTACACTGGATGAGATAGATTTTGTTTTACAGGAAATGGGATTTTTGTATGAAATTGTCATGGAGAAGTCGCTAACGGGTCCCACAAGTCACTACAAAGCACAGCAGCTCAGGCACTAGAGAATTCATCACGGCAAAATAGAGGGTACCAAGCCAGGATATCGAGGCGCCTATCGAAAAAGAGTAGGCAAGGGGGTGACTATAAGAATTAACACCCCTTCCCTACTTGAACTGGTCATGGGGAAACAGCCAATGCATTGCTCTTCAACAAATCACTTTAACTCCATACCTTTCTGGATTAACCCCAGTCCATAAATGTGGTGATCTCACTGATGTCAACAATTACAGACCTATATAAATTCTGCCAACCTTGTCAAAAATATCTGAAAATCTAATCTACAAGCAGCTTTACTCTTATCTAGCCAAACATAATATACATAGCTCTTGTCAATATCGCTTCAGATCCCCAAACAAGCACTAACGATGCACTGATTACTATGATTAACATGATACATGCAGCTCTTGATTAAAATGAGTTCCCTGTTGGGTTATTTGTTGACCTATGTAAGACTTTCGACACTGTCAACCACCACAACCTTCTTAAATTACATCATTATGGAGTCAGACCCTCTAATATCTTCAGTTTTACCTTACTGACAGGCTCCAGGATGTTTCTGTGAATAATTCCATATCTCCCACCCTACCTATCAACATTGGTGTTCCTCAGAGCAGCATACTTGGCCCTCTCCTCTTTCTCATCTACATTAATGACCTTCCAAATGCCTCTCAACACCTCAAACCAATCTTATTTGCTGATGACACAACCTTCATTTTCTCCAGTCCTGACCCCCTTGCTCTGAATGTTACAGTGAATACTGAACTAAATAAAGCCCATCTTTGGCTGCTAACAAACTCTGAGAGAGAACTCTATCAACATCAGAGGCCCGAGACTGTTCAACACGCTTCCACTACACATAAGGGACATAACTGGCCGACCCCTCACAGTGTCCAAGAGAGAACTATCAACATCAGAGGCCCGAGACTGTTCAACACACTTCCACTACACATAAGGGACATAACTGGCCGACCCCTCACAGTGTTCAAGAGAGAACTATCAACATCAGAGGTCCGAGACTGTTCAACACGCTTCCACTACACATAAGGGACATAACTGGCCGACCCCTCACAGTGTCCAAGAGAGAACTATCAACATCAGAGGCCCGAGACTGTTCAACACGCTTCCACTACACATAAGGGACATAACTGGCCGACCCCTCACAGTGTTCAAGAGAGAACTATCAACATCAGAGGCCCGAGACTGTTCAACACGCTTCCACTACACATAAGGGACATAACTGGCCGACCCCTCACAGTGTTCAAGAGAGAACTATCAACATCAGAGGCCCGAGACTGTTCAACACGCTTCCACTACACATAAGGGACATAACTGGCCGACCCCTCACAGTGTTCAAGAGAGAACTATCAACATCAGAGGCCCGAGACTGTTCAACACGCTTCCACTACACATAAGGAGCATAACTGGCCGACCCCTCACAGTGTTCAAGAGAGAACTATCAACATCAGAGGCCCGAGACTGTTCAACACGCTTCCACTACACATAAGGGGCATAACTGGCCGACCCCTCACAGTGTTCAAGAGAGAACTGGATAAGCACCTCCAAAGGATACCTGATCAACCAGGCTGTGACTCATACGTCAGGCTGCGAGCAGCCGCGTCCAACAGCCTGGTTGACCAGTCCAGCAACCAGGAGGCCTGGTCGACGACCGGGCCGCGGGGACGCTAAGCCCCGGAAGCACCTCAAGGTAAGGTATCCTTAACATTGAAAATTTTTCTATATATTGTTTGGTAATAAATCCTCAGATCAAATTAATCTAAGAATAAACAACATCCAAATTAGTAACAAAGTAGGTGGCAAGTTCCTTGGTGTTCTCATCGACAACAAGCTCAATTTCCAGGGACACATTCTAAATATAGCAGAAAAAAACAAAAAGTTTCTAAAACTGTTGGTATTCTTTCTAAGATCAGATATTATGTACCTTGTGCAGGCGATGAGTCACAATAACGGGGCTGAAGTAGTTTGACCAGACCACACACTAGAAGGTGAAGGGACGACGACGTTTCGGTCCGTCCTGGACCATTCTCAAGTCGACCGACTTGAGAATGGTCCAGGACGGACCGAAACGTCGTCGTCCCTTCAGCTTCTAGTGTGTGGTCTGGTCAAACATATTATATACCTCTCTGTTCTTTTGATGCTCTATTACTCTCTCGTCTATCCTTGTCTCAACTATGGTATTTGTGCTTGGGGCTCTACTACCCAAAATCATTTACGTCCTCTAATTACTCAACACAAAGCTGCTATTAGGACAATATCTAACTCTGGTCCCAGACAGCACTCTGAACCCTTACTCAAATCTTTGTGTATGTTAGATATTAAGTCACTGAACATCCTCTCGTGTGTACTCTATATACTGTATTTAAAACTCTGAACTGTAATGTCAATTCTGACCTTAGAAGCTTCCTAGAAGGTTGTAACAGAACCCATGAGCACCACACCAGAAACAAATACCTATTTGATATTCCAAGAGTACTTAACCAAACTAGAAATGCTCTACAAATCAAGGGACCCAGAATGTGGAATGACCTTTCCAATCATGACAAAGGCTGTACCTCTCTCAACCAGTTTAAGAGAAAATTAAGTACTTAGTACTACCTAATAAACTCCATGTAACCTACCTTACCCCCTCTAAATATCAACCCATGTTTTGCTAGTTAAAAACAATACTGTTTGTTGATCAACTTGTATAATTGCTGATTTCTGCCATATTCCCCCTTCCACTATTTGTCCGTTTTCAACACAATTTATACTTTAATCTCAATTAGTATTAAGCTTTAGTCTAAGTGACCCCCCCCCACACCTTGCTCGAAACGCTATGCATATTAGTGGCTTTAGTGATTGTATGTACTAGCTTTTTTTTTGAGATATATGCAGGAGTTGTTACATTCTTGTTACATTCTTGTTACATTCTTGTAGCTCTATCTATAAATCCAACATTATGTTTGTAACTCATCTTCTATGTATGTACTTTTACCTGTATAAACATTTTTATTTTTTATTTTTTTGAACACACATTAAGTCAGTAGTTTATTAATATTCACTATATGTGGTATAGGCTCCGTACGTAGCCCCTCAAGACTTGTGTACAGGTCAACACCTGGCACGATAACTGTTAAATATAGAGTCCACTTTGAATTTAAAAATAATAAATTAAAGTAACTTCAATAAATCAATAATTTAATATATAAATAAATTAACTAAATATATCCCTGCTGGGAAAAAACCCAAAGCCACACACCATGAGCAGTTATCACGGAGGCACCTACCATGAGAGCTGCTATCATAGGAGCCACCTACCATGAACGCTGCTATCATAGGAGCCACCTACCATGAGAGCTGCTATCATAGGAGCCACCTACCATGAGAGCTGCTATCATAGGAGCCACTTACCATGAGAGCTGCTATCATAGGAGCCACCTACCATGAGAGCTGCTATCATAGGAGCCACCTACCATGAACGCTGCTATCATGGGAACCACCTACCATGAGAGCTGTTATCATGGGAGCCACAAGAATCCAGATATACGGTAGAGAGCTGTAGCCGCGCCAGCAGTGGACAGGATAGTGCATAATCATGGTAGTGGTCCAAGCCGCCAGCAGGACTAGGGGCCACCCTGGAACACAAGATAACCATATAGCTTGCACGATCCCCTCGCAACACCAATATCAACACAATACTGTGTTGATATTGATGTTATCTATATCAATAGATACTATAATATCAATACTATATCTCTGTATTACAGAGATATAGGCCTAAGAAAATGCAAAAACAACACCCTCTAGTCACTACGATATCCAACACACTATTGAATTCAAATATTCCCGTTTAATATTTAATAGATTTAATTTCTAGTACAGTGGACGTGTGTAGGCCTAATAAAGGTGACACTAGCTACCATGAGCGTGAGTAGGCCTACACGAGTAGTAGGCTGTACACCAGTTGATTGACAGTTGAGAGGCGGGACCAAAGAGCCAGAGCTCAAAGCCCGCAAGCCACAAGTAGGCCTACACGAGGCCAAGACTGACCCCAGCCTATGACGTAGTAGAGAGTGAAGGGAGCCCCGGCGTCGAAGACGTGGGACGTCAACCTTGAGTGCAGGAAGACGCCCTCGACGAACATCCAGTTGATGGAGGCCGTCTGGGCGTACATCCTCACTGCCAGCAGTGACTTGCACAGCCAGTCCTGCAACAGTCACGGTATGTAACAGTGACTTGTACAGCCAGTCTTGCAACAGTGACTTGTACAGCCAGTCCTGCAACAGTCCCGGTATGTAACAGTGACATGTACAGCCAGTCCTGCAACAGTCACGGTATGTAACAGTGACTCACACAGCCAGTCCTGCAACAACAGTGACTCACACAGCCAGTCCTGAAACAACAGTGACTCACACAGCCAGTCCTGAAACAACAGTGACTCACACAGCCAGTCCTGAAACAACAGTGACTCACACAGCCAGTCCTGAAACAACAGTGACTCACACAGCCAGTCCTGAAACAACAGTGACTCACACAGCCAGTCCTGAAACAACAGTGACTCACACAGCCAGTCCTGAAACAACAGTGACTCACACAGCCAGTCCTGAAACAACAGTGACTCACACAGCCAGTCCTGAAACAACAGTGACTCACACAGCCAGTCCTGAAACAACAGTGACTCACACAGCCAGTCCTGAAACAACAGTGACTCACACAGCCAGTCCTGAAACAACAGTGACTCACACAGCCAGTCCTGAAACAACAGTGACTCACACAGCCAGTCCTGAAACAACAGTGACTCACACAGCCAGTCCTGAAACAACAGTGACTCACACAGCCAGTCCTGAAACAACAGTGACTCACACAGCCAGTCCTGAAACAACAGTGACTCACACAGCCAGTCCTGAAACAACAGTGACTCACACAGCCAGTCCTGAAACAACAGTAACTCACACAGCCAGTCCTGAAACAGTGACTCACACAGCCAGTCCTGAAACAGTGACTCACACAGCCAGTCCTGAAACAGTGACTCACACAGCCAGTCGTGCAACAGTGACTCACATAGCCAGTCGTGCAACAGTGACTCACACAGCCAGTCCTAAAACAACAGTGACTCACACAACCAGTCCTAAAACAACAGTGACTCACACAGCCAGTCCTAAAACAACAGTGACTCACACAGCCAGTCCTGAAACAAGTGACTCACACAGCCAGTCCTGAAACAACAGTGACTCACACAGCCAGTCCTGAAACAACAGTGACTCACACAGCCAGTTCTGAAACAACAGTGACTCACAACCAGTCGTGCAACAGTGACTCACACAGCCAGTCCTGCAACAACAGTGACTCACACAGGCAGTCGTGCAACAGTGACTCACACAGCCAGTCCTGCAACAACAGTGACTCACACAACCAGTCGTGCAACAGTGACTCACACAACCAGTCCTGCAACAGTGACTCACACAACCAGTCGTGCAACAGTGACGTAGACTCACCAGGTCACGATAGGTGAGACTGTGACGGTGAGAGATGAAGGGTTCAGTGATGACCACCATCACCAGGAAGCGGATGGTGAGCGCGGCCACCAAGTTCCTGTGAACCCTTAACCGGTCACACTCCAGTGATCTGTGGGCATGTGGGGCATTATGTGGGGCATTATGTGGGGCATTATGTGGCTGTTTACATTTATGTAAATACATGGCGTCCCGTCTGCCCTTACACAGACAGGTTTAGAGATGTGATCTCTATATTGTTTAGTGGATTATTACGCACTCTTCTGTGTAAAGGGGATTGAGGCCAAACTGGAATAGGTTCAGAGGCTTACAACGAGACTCGTCCCAGAGCTACGAGGGATGGGGTATGAGGAGCGCCTGAGGGAACTGTGCCTTACGACACTAGAAAGAAGAAGGGAGAGAGGGGACATGATAGGAACGTATAAGATACTCAGAGGGATTGACAGAATGGACATAGACGAAATGTTCACACGGAATAGTAACAGAACGAGGGGACATGGATGGAAGCTGGAAACTCAGATGAGTCACAGAGATGTTAGGAAGTTTTCTTTTAGCGTGAGAGTAGTGGGAAAATGGAATGCACTTCAGGAACAGGTTGTGGAAGCAAATACTATTCATAATTTTAAAACTAGATATGATAGGGAAATAGGACAGGAGTCATTGCTGTAAACAACCGATGGCCAGAAAGGCGGGATCCAAGAGTCAGTGCTCGATCCTGCAGGCACAAATAAGCGAGTACTCACATAACATAGCTATATATAGGCATATAACTGAAAACTCACACCCCAGAAGTGACTCGAACCCATACGGCCAGGAGCAACGCAACTGGTATGTACAGGACGCCTTAATCCGCTTGACCATCTCGACCGGACATAGATGTCAAGTTTTCAGTTGCATATAGTCCTGGGGACTATTCAGGCTTGTTCACATATAGGCACATATATAAAACTTAAACCTTATGATCGCTCAGGATTCGAACGATAGTGAAGAGTCCAGCAGACGTGACGACTCACCTGAAGCAGGTGAAGATGACGAGGGTGATGGTGAGGGTGAGGAGAGAGAGCAGCGCCCCGATGAATGTGATGTGTCTCACGGCCTCTCTCACTCCTGGTGACCCATCCTGTGAGGGACAGTCAAGTTAGTGTCACTTTCTCACTCACACACTCACCATGTTCCTCCCTGGTGACTCACACACTCACCATGTTCCTCCCTGGTGACTCACACACTCGCCACCATGTTCCTCCCTGGTGACTCACACACTCGCCACCATGTTCCTGGTGACTCACACACACACTCACCATGTTCCTGGTGACTCACACACTCACCATGTTCCCCCCTGGTGACTCACACACTCACCACCATGTTCCCCCTGGTGACTCACACACTCACCATGTTCCCCCTGGTGACTCACACACTCACCACCATGTTCCCCCTGGTGACTCACACACTCACCATGTTCCCCCCTGGTGACTCACACACTCACCATGTTCCCCCCTGGTGACTCACACACTCACCATGTTCCCCCCTGGTGACTCTCACACACCATGTTCCCCCCTGGTGACTCACACACTCACCATGTTCCCCCCTAATGACTCACACTCGCCACCATGTTCCCCCCTGGTGACTCACACACTCACCATGTTCCCCCCTGGTGACTCACACACTCACCACCATGTTCCCCCTGGTGACTCACACACTCGCCATGTTCCCCCTGGTGACTCTCACACACCATGTTCCCCCTTGGTGACTCACACACTCACCATGTTCCCCCCTGGTGACTCTCACACACCATGTTCCCCCTTGGTGACTCACACACTCACCATGTTCCCCCCTGGTGACTCACACACTCACCACCATGTTCCCCCCTGGTGACTCACACACTCACCACCATGTTCCCCCCTGGTGACTCGCACACTCACCACCATGTTCCCCCCTGGTGACTCACACACTCACCATGTTCCCCCCTGGTGACTCACACACTCACCACCATGTTCCTCCCTGGTGACTCACACACTCACCATGTTCCCCCTGGTGACTCTCACACTCACCATGTTCCTCCCTGGTGACTCACACACTCACCATGTTCCTCCCTGGTGACTCACATACTCACCATGTTCCTCCCTGGTGACTCTCACACTCACCATGTTCCTCCCTGGTGACTCACACACTCACCATGTTCCTCCCTGGTGACTCACACACTCACCATGTTCCTCCCTGGTGACTCACACACTCACCATGTTCCTCCCTGGTGACTCACACACTCACCATGTTCCTCCCTGGTGACTCACACACTCACCATGTTCCTCCCTGGTGACTCACACACTCACCATGTTCCTCCCTGGTGACTCTCACACTCACCATGTTCCTCCCTGGTGACTCACACACTCACCATGTTCCCCCTGGTGACTCACACACTCACCATGTTCCTCCCTGGTGACTCACACACTCACCATGTTCCCCCCTGGTGACTCACACACTCACCATGTTCCTCCCTGGTGACTCACACACTCACCATGTTCCTCCCTGGTGACTCACACACTCACCATGTTCCCCCTGGTGACTCACACACTCACCATGTTCCTCCCTGGTGACTCACACACTCACCATGTTCCCCCCTGTTGACTCACTGGGAGGGTGGGGGGGGTGGGGGGTGGGGATCTATGACGAAGCAAACATTGCTAAGTCGACGGTCTGAAGTGATGTGTTTGTCCTGTCTGTTGATCGGCCGTGTTTGTTGTGTCATCATCATCCCTTCATGGTCACTCATCATCCCTTCATGGTCACTCATCACTCATCACTCACCAGTTGCACTTACCTTCATGGTCACTCATCACTCACACTCACCTGGTGCTCTATAACAGTGACACACTCTCACCTGGTGCTCTATAACAGTGACACACACTCACCTGGTGCTCTATAACAGTGACACACTCACCTGGTGCTCTATAACAGTGACACACTCACCTGGTGCTCTATAACAGTGACACACTCACCTGGTGCTCTATAATAGTGACACTCACCTGGTGCTCTATAATAGTGATCACTCACCTGGTGCTCTATAACAGTGACACACACTCACCTGGTGCTCTATAACAGTGACACACACTCACCTGGTGCTCTATAACAGTCACACACACTCACCTGGTGCTCTATAACAGTGACACACACTCACCTGGTGCTCTATAACAGTGACACACACTCACCTGGTGCTCTATAACAGTGACACACACTCACCTGGTGCTCTATAACAGTGACACACACTCACCTGGTGCTCTATAACAGTGACACACACTCACCTGGTGCTCTATAACAGTGACACACACTCACCTGGTGCTCTATAACAGTGACACACTCACCTGGTGCTCTATAACAGTGACACACTCACCTGGTGCTCTATAACAGTGACACACTCACCTGGTGCTCTATAACAGTGACACACTCACCTGGTGCTCTATAACAGTGATCACTCACCTGGTGCTCTATAACAGTGACACACACTCTCCTGGTGCTCTATAACAGTGACACACTCACCTGGTGCTCTATAACAGTGACACACTCACCTGGTGCTCTATAACAGTGACACACTCACCTGGTGCTCTATAACAGTGACACACTCACCTGGTGCTCTATAACTGTGACACACTCACTTGGTGCTCTATAACAGTGACACACTCACCTGGTGCTCTATAACAGTGACACAGTCACCTGGTGCTCTATAACAGTGACACACTCACCTGGTGCTCTATAACAGTGACACACACTCACCTGGTGCTCTATAACAGTGACACACTCACCTGGTGCTCTATAACAGTGACACACTCACCTGGTGCTCTATAACAGTGACACACTCACCTGGTGCTCTATATCAGTGACACACTCACCTGGTGCTCTATAACAGTGACACACTCACCTGGTGCTCTATAACAGTGACACACTCACCTGGTGCTCTATAACAGTGACACACACTCACCTGGTGCTCTATAACAGTGACACACACTCACCTGGTGCTCTATAACAGTGACGCACACTCACCTGGAGCTCTATAACAGTGACACTCACCTGGTGCTCTATAACAGTGATACACTCACCTGGTGCTCTATAACAGTGACACACTCACCTGGTGCTCTATAACAGTGACACTCACCTGGTGCTCTATAACAGTGATACACTCACCTGGTGCTCTATAACAGTGACACACTCACCTGGTGCTCTATAACAGTGATCACTCACCTGGTGCTCTATAACAGTGATACACTCACCTGGTGCTCTATAACAGTGACACACTCACCTGGTGCTCTATAACAGTGACACACTCACCTGGTGCTCTATAACAGTGATACACTCACCTGGTGCTCTATAACAGTGACACACTCACCTGGTGCTCTATAACAGTGATACACTCACCTGGTGCTCTATAACAGTGACACACACTCACCTGGTGCTCTATAACAGTGATCACTCACCTGGTGCTCTATAACAGTGATACACTCACCTGGTGCTCTATAACAGTGACACACTCACCTGGTGCTCTATAACAGTGACACACTCACCTGGTGCTCTATAACAGTGATACACTCACCTGGTGCTCTATAACAGTGACACACTCACCTGGTGCTCTATAACAGTGACACACACCTGGTGCTCTATAACAGTGATCACTCACCTGGTGCTCTATAACAGTGACACACTCACCTGGTGCTCTATAACAGTGACACTTACCTGGTGCTCTATAACAGTGACACACTCACCTGGTGCTCTATAACAGTGACACACTCACCTGGTGCTCTATAACAGTGACACACTCACCTGGTGCTCTATAACAGTGATCACTCACCTGGTGCTCTATAACAGTGACACACTCACCTGGTGCTCTATAACAGTGACACACTCACCTGGTGCTCTATAACAGTGATCACTCACCTGGTGCTCTATAACAGTGATCACTCACCTGGTGCTCTATAACAGTGACACACTCACCTGGTGCTCTATAACTGATACACTCACCTGGTGCTCTATAATAGTGACACTCACCTGGTGCTCTATAATAGTGACACTCACCTGGTGCTCTATAATAGTGACACTCACCTGGTGCTTTATAACAGTGATCACTCACCTGGTGCTCTATAACAGTGATCACTCACCTGGTGCTCTATAACAGTGACACACTGGGAGTAGTTGGTCCACTCGCCCCAGAGCCAGGTACCAGTAGCATCACACTCACGGTACGCGAACGCTACCAGGGAGAAAGGTACAGTGGGTGTGGTACAGTGGTTGTGGTACAGTGGTTGTGGTACAGTGGTTGTGGTACAGTGGTTGTGGTACAGTGGGTGTGGTAGAGTGGGTGTGGTAGAGTGGTTGTGGTACAGTGGGTGTGGTAGAGTGGTTGTGGTACAATGGTTGTGGTACAATGGTTGTGGTACAGTAGTTGTGGTACAGTGGGTGTGGTACAGTAGTTGTGGTACAGTGGTTATGGTACAGTGGTTGTGGTACAGTGGTTGTGGTACAATGGTTGTGGTACAGTGGTTGTGGTACAGTGGGTGTGGTACAGTGGTTGTGGTACAGTGGTTGTGGTACAGTGGTTGTGGTACAGTGGTTGTGGTACAGTGGGTATGGTACAGTGGTTGTGGTACAATGGTTGTGGTAGAGTGGGTGTGGTACAGTGGTTGTGGTACAGTGGTTGTGGTACAGTGGTTGTGGTACAGTGGTTGTGGTAGAGTGGGTGTGGTACAGTGGTTGTGGTACAGTGGTTGTGGTACAATGGTTGTGGTACAGTGGTTGTGGTACAATGGTTGTGGTACAGTGGTTGTGGTACAGTGGTTGTGGTAGAGTGGGTGTGGTACAGTGGTTGTGGTACAGTGGTTGTGGTACAGTGGTTGTGGTACAATGGTTGTGGTACAGTGGTTGTGGTCCAGGATATGGTCCAGGGTGTGGTCCAGGGTGTGGTCCAGGGTGTGGTCCAGAGTGTGGTCCAGGGTGTGGTCCAGGGTGTTGTCCAGGGTGTGATCCAGGGTGTGGTCCAGGGTGTGGTCCAGGATGTGGTCCAGGATGTGATCCAGGGTGTGGTCCAGGGTGTGGTCCAGGGTGTGGTCCAGGATGTGGTCCAGGGTGTGATCCAGGGTGTGGTCCAGGGTGTGGTCCAGGATATGGTCCAGGGTGTGGTCCAGGATATGGTCCAGGGTGTGGTCCAGGGTGTGGTCCAGGATATGGTCCAGGGTGTGGTCCAGGGTGTGGTCCATGTAGGGTGTGCATGGTCATAGTAACTGTGACCGCAGTAAAGGAGGCAGTAAAGATGAGTACAATATTCATCCTTTACGCTATTTCATCCATCTTTACTCGTGAGGGGAGGGGGGCGTGAAGAGAGTAGGGAGAGAGCCTTGTGCTTTACCATCCTGATCCCAGCTGTCCAGACTGTGTCTGGAGCCATAATTGGCCCGTTAGTTTGCTGATCTCAAGAAATAACTTGGCATCAGACCAAGAAATATATCTGCTAACTGTTTCTCTCGTGTATTCAGGGCTTCACTACTTCTCTGAGTGTCTCTCGCTGTTTGTGCTAGGTTGTGGACATTGATGACACATTAACAGGGCAGCGGATGTTACAGGTCAACGAGGTCACATTGATGCATTCACCTAGTTGTATTCACCAAGTTGTGCTTGCGGGGGTTGAGCTCTGCACTTTCGGCCCGCCTCTAAGCTGTTATTAACTACTAACTAATTTTTTTCACACACACATACACACACCCAGGAAGCAGCTCCGTAACAGCTGTGTAATTCCCAGGTACCTATTTACTGCTTGGTAACAGGGGCATTGAGGGTGAAAAACTTTTTCCATTTGTTTCTGCCTGGTCCGGGAATCGAACCCGAGCCACAGAATTACGAGTCCTGCGCACTGTCCACTCAGCTACCAGACGCCCCACAAGGGGAGTCTGTGTTCCTCCATTGTGTCATTGTGTCGGAAAGCTGTTTGCTCGAGTCACATTGAAGAGGCTCCAAGTACTTGCGGAGAGAGAGTACCCAGAATCGCAGTGCAGATTCAGAGCTGACAGGTCAACCATCGACATGGCCTTTTTCCCTCAGACAACTGCAGGAGAAATGCAGGGAACAGAAGCAGCCACTCTTCGTAGCCTTCATAGATCTGACGAAGGCCTTCGACCTCGTCAGCAGGGATGGCCTGTTCAAGATCCTTCCAAGATCGGATGCCCACCCAGGCTCCCCAGCATCACCAGATCCTTCCACGAGAACATGAAGGGAACTATGGTCTTTGACGGCTTAACATTAGATGCCTTCGACATCTGAAGCGGAGTAAAGCAGGGCTGTATCCTGGCTCTGGTTGATACCTGGTTGATGGGGTTCTGGGAGTTGTTCTACTCCCCAAGCCCGGCCCGAGGCCAGGCTTGACTTGTGAGAGTTTGGTCCACCAGGCTGTTGCTTGGAGCGGCCCGCAGGCCCACATACCCACCACAGCCCGGTTGGTCCGACACTCCTTGGAGGAATAAATCTAGTTTCCTCTTGAAAATGTCCACGGTTGTTCCGGCAATATTTCTTATGCTTGCTGGAAGGACGTTGAACAACCGCGGACCTCTGATGTTTATACAGTGTTCTCTGATTGTGCCTATGGCACCTCTGCTCTTCACTGGTTCTATTCTACATTTTCTTCCATATCGTTCACTCCAGTACGTTGTTATTTTACTGTGTAGATTTGGTACTTGGCCCTCCAGTATCTTCCAGGTGTATATTATTTGATCTCTCTCGTCTTCTTTCTAGTGCTCCAACCAACCTCCAACCTTATTCGGGATTTTCTTCGCAGTTATGCTGCAGCACGCCTTCGGATCTGCCGCAGAAGGCATGTATCTCCGGACCAGGTCGGACGGAAAGCTCTTCAACCTCGCCAGGCTAAGAGCCAAGACAAAGGTTCAGCTGAGGTGTCTGTGCGACTTCCGTTTTGCTAACGACGCAGCAGTCACCGCCTACTCAGCTGGTTGATACCTGGTTGATAGGGTTCTGGGAGTTCTTCTACTCCCCAAGCCGGCCCGAGGCCAGGCTTGACTTGTGAGAGTTTGGTCCACTAGGCTGTTGCTTGGAGCGGCCCGCAGGCCCACATACCCACCACAGCCCGGTTGGTCCGGCACTCCTGGAAGGAAACAATCTAGTTTCCTCTTGAAGATGGAAACTAGATTGTTTCCTTCAAGAAGTGCCGGACCAACCGGCACTGAAGACCTCCAATGGCTCATGACTTGCTTCAGCAAGGCCTGCCAGGCTTTCGTACTCACCATCACCCTGACGAAAACACAGGTCATAGGACAAGGAGTGGACTCCCCACCTGATATTGGCATCTCCGATTACAAACTGGAAAACCTGGGCTCCACAATCTGTGACTTCCTCTCTCTCGACACGAAGCTAAAGAAACACATCAGTAAGGCATCTACAACCATGTCCAGACTGACAAATTGAGTGTGGGCCAACAATAAGCTGACTGAGTATACACTGATTTAGGTTTACAGAACCTGCGTCCTGAGCACTCTCCTATATGGCAGTAAGTCTTGGATACTGCGCCCATCAGGAAAGAAAACTGAATCCCTACCACACGCGCTGCCTCCGACACATATTGGACATCACCTGGCAGGACAAGGTGACGAACAACAGCGTCCTGGGGAGATCTAGAATCACCAGCATGTACACAATGCTTAAGCAGAGACGTATGTGCTGACTTGGGCGTGCGAATGGGCGACGGCAGGGTCCCCAAGGATCTCCGGTACGGAGAGTTGACACAGTGAAAACGTCAAACAGGCAAACCCCCAGCAACTTTACAGTCATATGCAAGAGGGACCTGAAAGCCATGGACGTCGATTTTACCACGTGGGAAACACTGGCCACAGAGCGGTCAGTCTGGAGGCAGTCTGTTCGTTTGTGCTCAATGTGGGATGGATTGCCATTCTGGGATTGGCCTCATCAGTCACACCAGACGCTGCACCAGGATTGACAACCAGAGCGCAACTCCATAGTCTTCCGAGACTGAAGGATGCCTACCTATCTGCCAGTTACAGGATGAGAGCTACGCTCGTGGTGTCCTGTCTACCCAGCACTCTGTCGTATAACACTTTGAAACTACTGACGGTTTTGGCCTCCACCACCTTCTCAATTAACTTGTTCCAACCGTCTACCACTCTGTAAGACTAATATTTTTTTGGCACCTCTGTTTCCTTAGCTTGAATCTGTGACCTCTTGTTCTTGAAGTTGCTGATTTCAGGAATTCCCTTTGCCAATTTTGGTCGATTCCTGTTATTATATTGTAACTGGTGATCATATCACCTATTTTTCTACTATCTTCTTTGGCGTATTTAATGCCTCTAACATCTCTTCGTAACTCTTGATTTTAAGTTCCAGAAGCCATTTTGTAGGATGCCACTGCACCTTGTCCACTTTATTTATGTGCTTCTTGAGATATGGGCACCATACAACTGCTGCATATTCCAAGTTTGGTCTCACAGAATTCATGAACAGACACATCAGATGAAAGAAACTGCCTATTTGTTTCTGCCTTGACCGGGAATCGAACTTTGGCTCTTAGAACTACGACCCCCAGAGCGCTGTCCAGTCGACTGCGATGACCAAATCTAGTCATAGTGTGAGTGTGAGTGTATGTGTATTCACCTATATGTGTACTTACAGAGTCGACATTTAGCATATGGATCCTGCCTCTCCAGCCGTCGGTTGTTTAATGTAATGCCTCCCGGCCTTGAAATAATATCCACTATTGATATTACGAATAAAGTACGCTTCCACAACCTGCTCCTTTAGTTCATTCCATTTTCCCGCTACTTTTTTTTAAATAATTTATAAATATCTCAATTGTTCATTTGTTTCTCAAGCCTCGTACCCATGCCCTATCGTTGTGTGGGCAAGGGGGCCGTCCCCAGCGTTACCTGCATACCCATCTTGGCAGAGGGAGGCTCCCTCATGATTGCTCCAGTTTCCCCGCCACCAAGTCGCCTACGGAACTTGTCCGGGGTCAAGACGCTACTTATGGTCACGGTGTTGGGTCGCCTCGCTACATAGAGACGGAAGAGGTCGGCCCCATCATGCCGGCTCTCTACTCCCTAACAGAAATTGACTTTCAACACACGCCAATAGGAAGACTCATCAACCTGCTCCTGTGTCCGGCCTCGGTCACGCTGCTACAATTGCTGCCACACAAATGAACATTCATTGTCCATTTTCCCCGAATAAACTTGTCAA